CCACCCCCCAGCTCAGGTTTCTGCTTGGAGACAGTCTGTGCCGCCAGTGAGCGGTCACCACCGCCACCGCCCCTCACACCACTTTCCCGCCCCCATCCTCTGGGCTTGGCCCTTCCGGGCCGAAGCTAGGCATGGCCCCCTGCCCTTCCTCGGGGCTTAGAGGGGGAGGGGAGACCGGGGCGGAGATAGAGCAGGCCACCACAAGGGCCATGGGCAGGGAGGAATGACCGCGATGCCCTTTTTGGAATTGCTCTTCTTGAGCCTGTTGGGGGCCTTCAGGAGCCTGCTGAAAGAACCCCCAGAAGGGAGGCAAGAGGACAGAGGCTGATGATGATAATGCACTGTTAGTTTATAAAACCAGCACTGTCCAGGATATGGTTAACATTTTATTTTGATTATCACACTTTCATTGACAGGTAGTCAAAGCAAGCAACATCCCCCCTTTCTCTCCTAATCTAGAGGAAAGCTATGTTCAGAGTGGGGAAATGACTTGCCCAAGGTCATGCTAATCTGAACTCAACTCTCTTAAGGCCAAGCCTGTCCCAAGGTCACAGAGGAATTGTGAGGCTTAGGTCTTCAAACATTTCTCTGCCGGCTGGACTCAAACATTCAGTTTCTCCTCCATGCCCATACTGTGGGATTCTTCCTGCTCCTGTTTACACAGATCCCGCAAGTCCTAATATGGCCCAGTTTCCCTCACCCAACATGTTGGATGGAACCCAGTAACATAAGGCTCTGGCTGGGCGCAGGCCCAGGTCCCTGAAGAAGGAAAGAAACCATATTTTCATGTGACATGCCTCCTCTCTACTTCTGCCTGCCCAGGAAGGGGAACCTCCTCAGCAGCGAGTCACTGGGACCCTGGTCCTTGCAGTATTCTCTGCTGTGCTTGGCTCCTTGCAGTTTGGCTACAACATTGGGGTCATCAATGCCCCACAGAAGGTAAGAGTCCTGAGGCTTGCAGAGTGGGGGTGCCCAAACAAGGAAGGGAGGGGACAGCAGGGATGAGCAGAGAGGGAAGGGTCTGCAGGAACTCACTCCTGTCTGTCTCCCCAGGTGATTGAACAGAGCTACAATGAGACATGGCTGGGGAGGCAGGGACCTGGGGGACCTGGCTCCATCCCCCCAGGCACCCTCACCACCCTCTGGGCTCTCTCCGTGGCCATCTTTTCTGTGGGCGGCATGGTCTCCTCCTTCCTCATTGGCGTCATCTCTCAGTGGCTGGGAAGGTACGGGGCTGAAGGACAAGGGTAGGGAACAGGAAGGGAGCCATAGTACAGGCACCCTAACTCTCACAGCCCCACTCTCTGCCTGCCAGGAAGAGGGCAATGCTGGTCAACAACGCCCTGGCAGTGCTGGGGGGCACCCTCATGGGCCTGGCCAACGCTGCTGCCTCCTATGAGATGCTCATCCTTGGACGGTTCCTCATTGGTGCCTACTCAGGTACCCACAGGCGCCATGGCCCTGCCCAGTGCCCTGCTCTCCTTCACTATCCCTGGGTGGCGGGAAGGAGTGGGCAGCTGCCTCAGCCTCTCTTCTTCACTCTGTCCAGGGCTGACATCAGGGCTGGTGCCCATGTATGTGGGGGAGATCGCCCCCACTCACCTGCGGGGCGCCTTGGGGACACTCAACCAACTGGCTATCGTCATTGGCATTCTGATTGCCCAGGTGATTGGGCCTGGCCTCATGCGGGGATAGGGAGGGGTTTGCGGAGGGGCTCTGGGGGACAGGCTGAATGGCCTGCCATCCTCTCCCGCAGGTGCTGGGCTTGGAGTCCATGCTGGGCACTGCCACACTCTGGCCACTACTCCTGGGCATCACAGTGCTGCCTGCCCTCCTGCAGCTGGTCCTGCTGCCCTTCTGCCCCGAAAGCCCCCGCTACCTCTACATCATTCGGAACCTGGAGGGACCCGCCAAAAGGAGTGAGCTTCCACCCCATCTTGCTAGTGTCTGTCCCCTTCTCAGACCCTCTCCTTGTCCTCTCAGTCCTGACCCTCCTCATCTCCAGGTCTGAAGCGCCTGACAGGCTGGGCGGATGTGTCTGGAGCGCTGGCTGAGCTGAAGGAGGAGAAGCGGAAGCTGGAGCGCGAAAGGCCACTGTCCCTGCTGCAGCTCCTGGGGAGCCGTACCCACCGGCAGCCCCTAATCATTGCCATTGTGTTGCAGCTGAGCCAGCAGCTCTCAGGCATCAATGCCGTATGTATGCAGCAGCCTCCAGGAAGGGCAGGGTTAGGGAACAGCCCAAGCAGAGGGGAGGAGAGAAAAAGCCCCCTTCCCTTAAAAGTCAGGGTCAGTCCAGCTTGATGTGGCTGCAGGGAAGGAAGGGACATCCCTGCCATCCCCTTTTTCTCTCCCCCACTTCTAGGTTTTCTATTATTCAACCAGCATTTTTGAGTCGGCGGGGGTAGGGCAGCCAGCGTATGCCACCATAGGAGCTGGCGTGGTCAACACAGTCTTCACCTTGATCTCGGTAACTACTGGCCCCTGGAATGGTCACATCCCTTAGTTGTCTCCACCCACCCAATCCCTCTCACTCCCCATAACCTGAAGCCAACCTGCCAAGCCCTGATTCTCTCTGCAGGTGCTCTTGGTGGAGCGGGCTGGGCGCCGGACACTCCATCTTCTGGGCCTGGCAGGAATGTGTGGCTGTGCCATCTTGATGACTGTGGCTCTGCTTCTGCTGGTGAGGTCGGGAGAGTGGGAAAGAGACCAGTGGCCCAAACCCATGGGGACTGCCCCAACAGGCTCTCTGTCCAGCCAGGGCCACTCCTCGGCATATGTGTCTTTGATCCTGGAGGCAGCTTGTATGCCAGGACCACGGTCTGTGCTCCTGAGGGAACTAGGTTGCACTTCCTCCCACTCTGGGAGAAAGCTGTAGCACAATTCTGGCAGCCCAGAGGGTGAGCCACTGTCCAACCTTGGAAACAATAATTCCTGAGGACCCAGCTTTAGAACCAATGGGGAATTGATCATCTTTCCCCCCCCTCTTTTTTTCCTTGTTTTTTCTGTTTTTGAGAATTGATCATCTTAATAGCTGAGAGTCCATAACACTCCCTCTACCTTGAATTGGCATAGGGCAACCAGCTGAATGTCAGTGTTTAGAAGTGCTCAAGGGCCTGTTTTAACCTAGGGTGGCAGATCCCTTTCTCTGTGAGCTGCTGGGAGGGGCTGATTTTAGTTTTCTGGGTTGAGGGCAAAAGAAGATCCAGAAAGACCCGACCTGAATTCCCACCCTCCATGCCTTGTCCGCAGGAGCGAGTTCCAGCCATGAGCTATGTCTCCATCGTGGCCATCTTCGGCTTTGTGGCATTCTTTGAGATTGGCCCTGGCCCCATCCCCTGGTTCATTGTGGCTGAGCTCTTCAGCCAGGGACCCCGCCCAGCAGCCGTGACTGTGGCTAGCTTCTCCAACTGGTCGTGCAACTTCCTCATTGGCATGGGTTTCCAATATGTTGCGGTAGGTGGCCTGCTCCTGTCCAATCTCCCACAACCATAGGCCAGAGTGGGGGCAACTCACAGCTAGCCCATTGACTTTCCAGTCAGGCACTCCCCCAGCTCCACCAGGATCAAAGGAAAGATGGGAGCTGAAATAGGTCACATAGCAATAGAGGTGTCTTAAAAACAAACTAGTGGCATAACTTTAGACTAGGAATAAAATTATAAACATATTAATACTCTTGAGTGCAATAACACAGGATGGTAAGAGGGTGAAAAACTATAGGAGAGTTGGGGTTCAGAGGGTCCTAACTTCTCATTCCTGACTATTCCCATTGCCCTGCAAAGGAGCCACCTGCTATCTGCAGTATCCCAGCTCCCTATGGAGACTTTAGTTCATAGCTTGCCTGAGACTGCCCTTTCCCTCCCCTCTGTCAACACCTCTTTCTCTGCCTGTCCCAGGATGCTATGGGTCCCTACGTCTTCCTTCTGTTTGCGGTCCTCCTGCTCGGCTTCTTCATCTTCACCTTCTTAAAAGTGCCTGAAACCCGAGGCCGGACGTTTGACCAGATCTCAGCTGCCTTCCATCGGACACCCTCTCTTTTAGAGCAGGAGGTGAAACCCAGCACAGAACTTGAGTACTTAGGGCCAGATGAGAATGACTGAGGGACCAGGCAGGGGTGGGAGAGCCAGTTCTCTCTGTCCCCAGAGACCCCCTCCTTTCCTCTGTGGCACTTTAACCCTCTCTTCCCCATCACATCCAGGGTGGAGAAAGCCCCTGCAGCCTGGTGGAATTGGGAAGCTGGAGGGAGAGGTGGTCTTAGCACCCCCTCATTCCCCTCGTGTGACTTTCTTGGATTATTTATGTGTTGTGGTTAGGCTGTGGCCATCGAGGTGGGCCATTCTCCCCTCTTGTCCCTCTCCTCCTTCCTCCATAGTTCACCCCTTTCCACCTCAGCTCCAGAATACTTTTGCCCCTCTGCTAGAGAAGAGGGATTGGAGGAGAGACTCTAGGACTGAGTTTAGTGGGGGTGAACTGAAGTACAGAGCAGGAGTGGACAAGAGAAATCCAGTTTCCTACCACCTTGGACTCCTCCCACTCTGGCACTTTCTCTGAATTCTTGTCACATAGACTCTGGGTGAAGAGGGCTTTGTCTTGATCCATCCAAGGCAAAGGATGAACCCTCCCAAAGTCTGACCTCACCTCTCTCACTAAAGGCTCAGTCCTCTTGCTCAACCTTCCAGGGTGAGAGGGAACACCTGCCCATATGTGAGAGGAAGGGATAACAAGCTCCTGCCTCTAAACTTAAGGCTCTGGGCCCTACTTTGACTGCCCCTGGGACCCCAGCTCTTTCCTCCTCTCCCATTGTGGAAGGGTGTTGTACCCACAGACTTTTGACCAACTAAAGGAAAGAGAGATTTGAAAGGCTGCCTATAAACACTAGGCTGGGAGGAATCTTCAGATATTTTTATACATGTTTGAAAAAGAAGGGGTCGCAAGAAGAAAGCAAAAGTCTGTTGTACTAAATGTAAATATATAGATACGTATATAAAGTCACTGTATGAGACAAGTGTCCTGTCGTGGAGGCACTCAAGGATGGGCTCAGACAGGGACGGACCACAGCTTCCCTCCCCACTCTTCTTCTCTATCCTGCCTCAGCTCCAGGCAGAAGATTCCTCTGGATGCTGTCACTCATGCCCCCACTTATATTTCTAGTCATAGCTTTTATTAATAGTAAATGCTAATAAGGTGTAGCTGCAAGTGCCAGACTGTTCTCAGCACTTTACAAAACACTCACTCTGCAAGGAAAACATTATCCCCATTTTACAGATGGCAAAAGTGACTTTCACAGGGATGAAAGCACTTGTTCAGAGCTCCACAGCTAGAAACATGGGAACAACAATTCGTGACCAGGCTGCTCCCCACCTTTACCAGCCAGTTACCAGCAATTCTAACAGAAAAGAGGCAGAGACCAAGACGACAAGAAAGCCTGTTTTTGTTTTTACTGGAGGCTCAGGTGGCACATGACAGTTCATAAAATGGCTTCAGAGGTAGAGGGTAGAGGGGAAACAAAAAATAAACTGGGGTGGGAAAGAAAAACAACCAGGAGGAGGTAAGAGCTGGCTGGTTCCTTCTCAGCCTGATTTAGGGTGGGAGTTGATGCCTCGAACAAAAAGGATGGATCCCTTCCTTCAACCCTTGGTAGGGGAGAGAGAAAAAAAAAGCAAAAGGCTGTTGCTTTGGCCCTCCTGAGTCTCATGGAAAAGGGGGAAAAGCCAGTGTTTTGATGTCATGAATATGGGAAAGGGGGGAGGGGTGCTGGGTAGGGTGCAGGTCAGTTGGAAAACCTGGCAGATACCTAAGAGAGAAGAAGAAATGGACAAGTCATGACTAGTAACTTATCAGGACCCAGTCCCCCGCCCTCTTGGCTTCCCACCCTGGGCCCTCTCCTAGAGCAGCCACTCACCAGATGGTAGTTCTGGGTGTCCTCGAGTTGGAATCACTCCAGTATGGTGGTGGTGGGGTCCCCACTGTTGATGGGGGCTGAGGTCTAGAAAGAACAAGCGTGGTCAGTTGGGACCTTCTTGTCCTTTAGGGCCCTCCAACTTCAATCTTCTCCCACCTTTTCTCTTCCCATTCCCATAGCCCCTTCCCACTCCTCCCCCAATTCACATCCACAGCTGGTGCTGTGACTCCAAGCAGAGCTGAAAAGGGAGCCTGCAGGGGCTGACACGGGCTAGACTGCCTCTGCTGGGGTTTCCTGGCGGGCGGGGGTGCGTGCCAGCGGTGGACCCAGTAGTATGGCTCTGATGTTAGGCTGAATGAAGGGGTAGTGTGGGGTGGGGACAGGGCCAGGAGATACGGGAACAGAAGGATAGAGTGACATGGGAAGGGGAAAGGATAAAAAGGGGAGGGGGAGAAGGGAATGGGGGAAGAGAGAAGAAAGTTGGCTCCACGGTAGATGGACAGTCCAAGGTCCTCACCTCCTGGGCTGTGGGTTGCCTGGGTCCAGGGGGCTGCTGCCGTCGCCGCTGGAAGTAGGGGCGGTTTCGTGGGCGCTGGGGCTCAGGCCGGGAACCATCAGTGGGACCTTGGCTGGGCTTGGTCTTGCCATCCCCACCTTCTGTGGTAGGCTGCTGGGGTGGCCTGGGGCGGAAAGGCCTGGGGAGAGAAGTAGGGACCCTGAAGAGCATAGGGATTCCAATGCAGACTGCCTCCCTCCCTCCCAGGACTCCACCTAGAGAGATGGACCAGCCAGCTTCCCCATCCCCATCTCCACCCCAGGAGCCAGCCTTTTAGCCCCACGGGCTGTTTCCCGAGGGTACCTATGTATCAATCTCTAGGCTACCCAAATTCCCACCTCCCCACCCCAAACCACTAGCTTCAGGCTTGTCTGAGAACTTAGCTCTTCCCCTTCCCATCCTTCCAACCCCCCTTATGCGCCTACACCCACCACCCTCATCCAATACTGGACAGTGAAGGGGAAGATAGGGCCCTGGAAAATCTTACCTTCGGTATCTGGGCCGGAATCTGGGTGGGGGGACCCGCTCATCTCCCTGCTGTTGGTCCCCCTCCAATGGGGCTGTCTCTTTAGGTTCTACCCCATCAGTGCCCTGGGAAGATACACAGGCCCTAGTGAGCTGGAGCAACAACAGCTGCCTAGGACCCTGGTGTCCACAGCTCTTCCCAACCCTGGGTTCTACTTCCTCTGGTGACTCTGTGCTCTCTCTCTCTCTCTACCAACTCCCACTCTTTTCCCAGGACTTGGGAAGCGAGTTCCACATTCCCAGTTCCCCTCACCTCTATAGGCTGCTGCTGGTTGGGGGGCCTTGGGCCTCGCACAAAGCGACGTCGGTAGAAGAAGGGTGGTGGGCGCCGTCGTCTGGGCCTCTGCCCAGGGTCTTCAACTCGTTCCCCTTCGATGCCTGGTTCTGTCCCACCTGATGGAGCCTCTGCCACCATGGGTGGTGGGGCAGCTGGGCGAGGCCGGGGAATAAATCGGCGGAACCTACGTCGATTGGGGGCATAGCGGCTACCCTTCACTGGCACCCCCCCAGGCCCAGTTACATTAGCAGCTTCTGCGCCCTGGAAAAGAGGTGGGGAGAACTTGCTCCAACAACAAATGCACAACATTCCCAAAATGCTTGAATCATTAGTCTTCCCCTTCTTCCAGCTAAATCTCCTCTCCAGATTTCTTCAGCCCCTCTAACTTCCTTCCACCTTGCCCAGCAGGGCAATGGCATCTTTGGACCCTTCTAGGAAGGGCCACCTCTGCAACTTGTCCCTTTTTTTAAAAAAAATATATCTTTATTGATTTCAGAGAGGAAGGGAGAGAGAGAAAGAGAGATAGAAACATCAGTGATGAGAGAGTCATTGATCAGCTGCCTCCTGCACACCCCCTCCTGGGGATTGAGCCTGCAACCCGGGCATGTGCCCTGACTGGAATCAAACCACGATCGCCTGGATCATAGGTCGATGGTCAACCACTGAGCCACGCTGGCCAGGCATGCAGCTTGCCCTTCTGAAATAACTACTACTGAACCCTCTTGAGTTTAAGACTGGCAGTAGGGGGGTGTAGAAGCAGAAAGGTCTGGCAGCAACTGTCCATCTTACTAGAGGGCTGACTCTGAGAGCCTGGGACAGGACCCCATGTGAAGAACAGACATAGAAGTGCTTGAACTACAAAGAAACCCAGATGTTAATTACTGAGTGATAGCAGGGATTTGTTCTTCAGGATGTCCCTTAAAGCAGCCAAAGTGTTAAAGTCGACAAAGTCTGCATGAGAACACAGTCTGGGCTAATGCGCCAGAGGAGGAGCTGGCCTAAGGAGGGGCAAAGCCTGGGATGACATCTAGGCCATCCTCCCACTCTATATCCCACCACAGCCCCCAAACCTTCTCTCCTTCCACGACATCAAACTCCACAGTCTCCCCATCTCCAACGCTGCGCAGGAACTTCCTGGGGTTGTTTCTTTTAATAGCTGTCTGGTTAGGGGAAAGGCCATGAGAAAGGTGAGGACTAGAGTTTCTCACTCCTGCTGGGCCCACCACCCCATTTTATTCTTTTCACCATTTTACTTGTGGGGTGGGGCTGGTGGGTGAAGCAAGGAGAAGGTAGAGTTTAGTAGGGGAAAAGCCATAAACTAGGGGCCTCAGGAACAATTGTGCAGTTACCACTGTCCCCAGGACACACTCCCTCCTCCTTTACCCCTCAGGGATTTCAAAAAGGGAGGCAAGAAACATGAACTCAGAATCAAAACAAAAAGCAGAGTGTCTTAAGCTGCAAAGTGGGTAAAATGTACTGTGCTTCTTACCTCAATCCCACTGAGAGTTCTTTCCACCAAAGCAGTGGTTCTCAAACCATGGCATGCATCAGAATCATCTGGAGAGCTTGTTAAAAACAGATTGCCGGCCTCTCCCCCAAGTCTGATTGATTCAAGTAGGTCTGGGGTGGCGCCTGAGAATTTGGATGTCAGGTGATGCTGCTGGTGCAGGGGCCACACTTTGAGAACCACTAGCCTGTGCCCTTTCCCACTGAACATCGCCTGTGGTGTTAACAGGTCCCAGTAGGTACTGAGCATGCCATGCTCAGAGGGCAGCACATACATTTCTGACAGACAACCCAACACAAGTGGGGCCAATGGCAGTTAATTCAGGCACCTGATGCAGACAGGGAGGGAAACTATCTCCTGGTGGGCATGCTGTTGTAAGGTAAAAGCTGGAGGAGATGATGTGTGCTAAGTATTACGGCAAAAGCTTTCAAAGAGAGGCCAGTTTCTTCCCCTCAGAAAGCCAACCTAGCTCTTACCTGGTGAACAAAGACATCCTCCTTGGTGTCATTCCTGCAGAACAGGATGGGTTGTTAGGAGGTGGCTTTGGTGAGGTGCTCACCTCCCCTGAGGACTCCCTAGCTGTCCTTTCCTAAATCAGTAGGCCCATCCTCTCCAGCCTTCCATGGCTGCTTGGAGGTAGACAGGGCCCCAAGAAGCAGGAATGAAGAGAAGTATACTTAAAACCTCGGTGGAAACCTGGGCTTCATGAAGAAAGGGTGGACGGGGAGGCAGATTGACTTTGCAGGAGCTGTGCACTCCACCCTCTGCCGCTTAGAACCTGGTAGTGCTGGGTGTAACTGTCCCTGGCCAACAACCCCCATCACGGTTGCAAAATTCCATTCCTGTCTCCTTCCCCCTACGTTCAAGGAGCAAGAAAGTGAGGACAGGAGGAGAGGTACAGAACAAGCTTGAGATGTGGACAGTGTGTCAAGAACTTGCTCTAAGCAGCCTCCAAACTTTATTCTCAGCCTTGACCAGGAGTTGAGCCCCAAGGTCAGGCCTCCTTTCAACACACCATAGGACCAGGGGTGAGAGAGAATATCGGATCACCCTCTATTACTGCTTGCCTGTTACCGGTTTATCCTAGCACCTCAATGAGGGGAGGGGAGAGGTTTTCCTTCAGAACCTCCCAGGAGTCCTCAGTTTTCAGAATTAGAGAAGAGCCCTCCCCTAGAACAAATATTCTAGCTGTAAAGCACTTGGATCTGCACAAAGGTCAGCCTGCTAAGAGGGAACTAGCGCCTCCCAGGAGGGCTGGGCTGGGCAGGGTGCCCAGGCTGGGGAAGGGCCCACAGGGGGAGGCCTGGCTTTACTCAGAATCTGCCACTAGGGCCCCTCCCAGTGCCGGGAGGGGGTGAGGCTGCCAAAGAAGAAAAGCGGCAGCTTCTGGCTGGGCTGGCTCCTTCCCCAACCCCCACCAACCTCAGTCCTGTCAGGTGGGGTTCAAATGAGCCAACAACTCTGTAAAGAAGATGAGTTGTGAGAGTGCTATGTGCGCTACTGGAAACAGGAAAATGAGTGAGGCCTGGAGCCCTGGGGCGCAGAGAGCAGGTACATTCTGCCCCAAAGGTGAGGCAAACTAAGCCAGAAGGTGAGACAAGCTGGGAAGGTCAGAGCCAGGTTTGCCAACTTCCTAGATCATTAACCCTCTGCTGCCCTTGAAGATGAGGAGCTTCATCTCGCCCACATTTGTGTTACGATTAAAGACTTTCAATCAGCGTCAGCTGGACATTGCAACCATGTGCTTCGGCAGGGGTAGAGATGAGGTGGGGAAGGTGTCCAGTCCCACAGGCCAGTTTGGAAGACACCCATTCCACCCCCTCCCTAGGTTCCTCAGATACCTGTTGATGAATCCGTAACCATTCCGGACGTTGAACCATTTGACAGTGCCCAGGACTTGTATTGCTGCCAGGCAGAGATGCAGTAGGGACAGTAAGATGGGGGAAGAGATGGAGCTGGACTCAGTTTTGAGACACTCCGAAATCTAACCTCCCTCCCTACTACTTAGTAAGCTTAACTTCAAGTGGGAGCCCACACAGTGAGGCTCAGGCTTTCAAAACCCTTCCAATTCTAAGACATGTTCCTCGGAGCCTACAAATCCAGGCCCTTCACCTACAATCGTGTACTCACCTGGTCCAAAGTCCGGCCCTCAGGTCATACCTGGGGGCTTTTCTAGTCCTCTTAATGTAAGGTTCCCTAGTGCACCTGCTCCCCGGACTTAGAGGTTTACGGGGTGCTAACCTGAGTCAGCGAGGCCACGTCTTCCGCCCCGGGGGCGTGGCCAGGCCCTGAGGTTCGTTCTCCGCCCAGGGCCCTAGCTGGACCTGCTAACCGCGCTCTCCCGCCCAGGAAGGCAGGGTTTCCCACCGGGGAACCTCCTTGGGTCCGCCGCCCTAGCCCAGCTAGTCCTTTAGCCTTCGGGCCAGGCCCACCTTAGGCTTTCCAGACCCCGCTGGGCTCCACGATTCCCTTCACCCGGCC